TGTGAAATATTATTAGAATTTAAAATAACTGTTTTCTATTTTAATATATTTTAAAAATATTTTTTTTTTCCCTGTGCAAAGTTGAATTTTCAGCATCATTAGTCCTTTGTGTCACAGATGCTAATATGCTTCTAATTATTATCAATGTTGAAAACAATTCTGCTGCATTTCTGTCAGATATATATGTGTATGTATATATATATATATATATATATATATATATGCATCAAGGTAATGAATTATGAACAACCCTAATCCATTGAAATGTCACGAGAGGCTTCGTTTTTTTTATACTTTTTGTTTTCCTTGCCATTTCGTGAAACTCACCCTTGAGCTGTCAGCTCTACACAGTCCTCTGTATTTGTGTGTGTGCTTTGACTGCTCTGGACAGTCAGCGGTTCTGTTTAAAGAAAATACTTCCTGTTTGATGCACAAGAATCTGTACAGCTATTTAAGATTAAACTGTCATATCTCATTCATCTAGCTTTTTTTTACCCACCCTCAGCTGGTACCGGGTTTCTCAGCGTTTGTGTGTGTGTGTTTGTATGCATGTGTGAGTGTGGCTAGCAGCTCTCATCTCTTTCATTAATTATGCACGACAGGCTTGTGATGGTCCTGTTGCTGCAGTGCTTTATCAGACGGTGAAGGCCACAGTCACTGATGAGTGTTTTTCTGAATGCTCAAGCGGTTTTATCTGATGCATTTTGTTGCATTAATAGATGTGGGCTTTTTTTATTATTTTGCCACCAGTGTGAGAGCAGACAGCAGGTGGGGTGTGTATGTGTTTTGTTAATCTGGTTGTGTGTGTGTTGTAACCTGGCTATCGGAGCACAGGTGACATGAAACCTCAGTCTGTGGTCAGTGCAGGGAAACAAGATGTTTCTCTTGGACAGTATTATTTCATTACAAGGTTTGACGTCAGAGGTCTGATAACACCGATCTGGAAATGTTGGCTTGAAGAACATTAGCACGTTAAGATTTAAAAACAACAATTGTTGATGCTCACTTTCTTCAGAACAGCTCTTTTCCCCTCTCCTTTACAACCCTTTCCATATCCTCTCCTCTTTGGCAAAGAAATTGGTCTCTCATTCCCCTCATTACCAGCAGCATGTAAAAGCTGCCTAAACAAACCTAATTAGCTCATTAAGAACCAGTCTTAACTACCTCCTGGGCTTTGTTCACATGCTGCAGACTTCTAAATGTTGTTGCTGATTTACTCTTATACCGTGTGATTACTTTGCTGGGTTTATAGTATCTCCGGCTGCATCGCCTCAGCGCCGCTCCTGCGTCTTACTGTACGATTCTCCGGCTCTCTCCCACTGAGAGCCTTCCATTATAGAACACACTGACGTTAAATAGGAGATTGGTATCATTAAATTCACATTAAGCGGGCAGAAAAATATTGATATGGAAGTGTGCAGCCGTTTGAGTTTGGTGCTGAAAAGGTAAAGAGCATTTCAAATCAGAGATGAGTCAAAGATGCTCTGTTGAATTTTAATGCATCTATTACTACTGATGACAGAGCAGGTAAATTGCCCCCCCTATTTCTAAGTCATTGGTTTTCAGATTGTGTTATCATCTGTTCTCTTGGGAAAAACACTGTTAAATATTTGGTGAATGAGCTTGGCATGTATAGACTAAGCTAAAAAAGTGTACCTTATTGTCTGTGATGTGGCACAGCAGTTAGCATGTGCAGGCTAGAAACATTGAGCTATTGTGCTTTTGTGGTAGACCATGCTTCAAATCTGGATGAAACTGGATGTTATATTCCAATCCCGTTCCTCTTTTCTCTTTAAATGTCTCCAGTAAATGTCTGCTCATCTCTGCTCAATGTCTGCTCATCTCAAGCGACGAGAATACTTTTTGTACGCGAAGAAAACAAAAATAATGACTTTATTCAACAATTCGTCTCCTCTGTGTCTCTCCGCATCACCGCTACGCCATTTTGGAGAATATCCGCTGAACGCAAGCAGCGTATGCTCTTCTGTGTCAGCCGTGCTGCACGGATGCGCTGTTTTCGTTCAAATCAAAGCGTAAATACACGTAGAAAACGTATCCTTGTGTCGTGGCTGACACAGAAAAGCTTACGCTGCTTGCGTTCACGCTGCTTGCTTGGGTGTTCTCCAAAATGCTGCTACGGTGATGCGGAGAGACACAGAGGAGATTAATTGTTGAGTAAAGTCGTTATTTTTGTTTTCTTTGCATACTAAAAGTATTCCCGTCGCTTCATAACGTTACGGTTGAACCACTGATGGCAGATGGACTATTCTGACGATATCTTTCATACTTTTCTGGACCTTGACAGTGCAATTTACTTGGCAGTTTACTTGGCAGTCAATCGGACAGTCACAAGCCTCCCGGTTTTCATCCAAAATATCTTAAATTGTGTTCCGAAGACGAATGAAGCTTTTACGGGTTTGGAACAACATGGGGGTAAGTGATTAATGACAAAATTTTCATTTTGGGGTGGCGTATCCCTTTAAGCTTAAAATAGTCCTGCAGTAAGACATATTAGTTTTAATGTGTAGTATTAAAAGTGTGTTTGTTCAATGTAGTAGCCTTGCATGTATAACCTTATTTATTATACAAGAAATAAAACTGTGTAAAATAGTTTAAATTAAATATAGCAACACACTGCTAATATAGCTTGACATGTCATGCCAACTTACATTTACATTTACTGTAAGACAATCACTTGCTCACATGTTAAAAGTCTCTTGAAATCACAGTGAGCACAGTGTCGTGATTCCAACAAATCCCCTCTCCTTATTTTACAGGATTCTTTCTTTCTTTCTTTCTTTCTTTCTTTCTCTCTCTCTCTCCTACGGTTGTGCTTAAATCTCTCTTCTACCTCTCCGTCCAACAAGCCTGACTCCATTAGCAAATCAGGCATCTGGGAGAGGGATGGAAATAATCTCGTCCAGTACACAAACTCTGTCATATCAGTGTAACCAGGCTCGATCACTGTGTCAGCTAAAGAATAGATTAAATGTCTTGGCTGATTATAATCTGATCCACCCTACGGCTGTGCTATTCATATTTGGTGTTTACAGAAAACGGATGAAAGGTAAATCGACAAAAAGCACTTTAGCTTTGATATTGCATCATCCTAACATAAAAACATATATGATGTAATAGCATGAAGTAACGGATTTAGCAGGCTACAATGGATTTACAGTGCGATGCTATGCATGCGTGTGTGTATTTGTAATATTTTTGCTTTGCCAGTTAGCAGTGTTTAATCATTGGGAGTTTAATTAAGTCGGAGCTGTAATTAAATAGGCAGGTGCTAATTTGTCTTAAGTCTTCAGTTATTGGGTCAGTATGTGACTGTGTGAGTGCGTTGGCGAGTCTTAAGCTTGTTTTGGTGGCCGAATCACACGCATGCGCTTCTCATTGTCCAATCATGATGTGTTGATGTGGTATATTTTTGCGGCGAGGTATTGAGTGACAGAACTGTGCTCTATTTGCATGTGTAGATAGAATATTACGAGCGATGGGCCGGCAGACTCCATTTAAAGCAACAGCTAGTCATTTGCACACAAAACAGCCACTTCTGTGAGGTTCCTATTGAATTTACATGCTGATCGATTTTGATATTTGCTGACAAGGGTGCTTTTTTAAGTACTTTGTGTCTCGTAGCCGGCAGGTCATTCCGGCTGGCCTATAGATTGCACATAAAATAGGTCTTTGTGTTTGATGAGTCCACTGGCTTGCCCTGGGCTCACCTCTCGATGTGTGTGCAAGAACGATCCATCTCAGCCGTAGGGACCCAGACTGGCTTCAGTGTGCGTATTGATCTATTACCCCTCAGAAGCCCCTCATGCTTTTACCCCACAGATTTGCACGACACCAAGCCAAATCTCTGTCTCTCCTCTTATGTAAACATGAGTCGTCTCTCTCTCTGCCTTCGGGCTTTAGACTTGTTCAGCTCCTGCTCTCTGTGTTGGTCCTCATATTGATGTAAATTGTCGTGCTATTGGTTTGTTTATCTGTCGGTTTGGCTCCAAATGGAGTGTAAGTGACAGGTTTTACTCTGCGCTGAATTGTGTGAAGAGAGCACTTCAGATTAACTATTTGTTTTCCCCATAAAGAGCCACAAAATCAAGTGTCAACGTGGACCTGGGCTCCTGGAGGAAGTGATGTCGAGACACATTACGCAGCTGACCTTCCCAGTGCACCGCTGAACTGAAATTAAAGATTAATCTATAGTGTAAAGTCACCCAAGGTTAATGAATTATGAATCGCTGCTTTGATAATTATCTTTGATACTTGTGTTTTAACACTGGCTGTGACAGTCAGGCCGACTCTCCGGTGTTTATTCCCTCCTGCGAGCTCACCTTATAGCGACAGCTGATCTGCATTACAAATACAGCACATTACCTGAATAACCAGCAAATGACAAATTCACACATTTCCCCAAATGCTCACATTACCGCCACACGCAATGCACTTTTGTAAGAATTTTGTCTGTGGTTGTTAATGGGTCTGAAGCTGCTTTTCAGTGTTAAATTTCTCATATCCTGTAGGTTTGTAGATGAACTAACTTTGCATAGAGTGTTAAAAGGATAGTTCACCCAAAAATGAAAATGTGATGTTTATCTGCTTACCCCCAGGGCATCCAAGATGTAGGTGACTTTGTTTCTTCAGTAGAACACAAACGAAGATTTTTAACACAAACCGTTGCAGTGTGTCAGTCATATAATGGACGTGGATGGGAATCACGGCTTTGAGAGTCAATGTATCGTCACGAGCCGCAGGGTTTAATTTGGTTAGTTTGTGTATGTTTTTTTTACTCTCAAAGCCGTGATTCCCATCCACGTCCATTATATGACTGACAGACTGCAACGGTTTGTGTTAAAAACCTTTGTTTGTGTTCTACTGAAGAAACAAAGTCACCTACATCTTGGATGCCCTGGGGGTAAGCAGATAAACATCACATTTTCATTTTTGGGTGAACTATCCCTTTAACATTCCATTCCCATTCCCATGTTTCCTCGTCAGTTGTTCAGCTGGCACATGTAGCCCAGGAAGTATGCAACCTGGTTTCTGTTGTCTTTCATACTGTAAAACCAAACAGCAAAATTAACTTTAAATTCATTTTACTCAAATATGACTGAACGTTCATTGTTATGTGAACACAGTAACTGATTATATTGAGCTGAACTTAGCAGCAGATTTCCAGTTCCCAGCATGTTTTGAGTTAGACTGTAGAAGGAGAATAAATGTTGAAATTAAGTGTAATTTTGTGTGTTTTTGCACAAGATTAATATAGGGAGAGATGTGTTAGTGTTATGTTGGGATTTATAAGGGGTTTCTGTTATTTTGCACATTTGGAGTTACCACTGTGGTAGAAGAGTAGAGCCTGAGGTTACGTCGAGGATGGGCTGCAAAACCTTGAGAATATATATGCTGTATTTTGCGTACCTGTATACATGCAAGAGTATAATGATAATCTCTTTCCTAGTTACATTTGCACATGCAAATTTGCCATTGCTAGCAGGCAGTTAACCGCATACTATTTGAGTTAATGTGAAGTTTATGCAATCGAATTGGAAGAGTTAGTCAGTATGTTTGGTACAAAAACTTCTGCGATTACTAACTTTGAGTTTGTTAACTTATTAGAGTTGCAGTATCTGTCATTATTTACGCTCTGTCATTTTGCTTCAAACCTGTATGACTATGAAGCACAAACGAAGTTGTAGTTTCCATTCTATATTATTTGTAAATGTTAATCAGGGTAAAGTCAGGGTCAGGTTTATAGTGACGTGCTGATAATTCACTCTGTGCTAGATAAGGTCTGGTCCCACAGTGAGAGGAAGCTTTTCTCTGTGTACTTAAAAGCTACTTCTCAATAGAATTACGCACAGTCACGCTGGTGAACTCTCATTGGAGTGTGTAAGTTTGACACACGTCCACTGGAGTCCCCTTTAGACACAGTAAAGCATACAAAAATGAAAAGTGCACATGTGTACGTGCACGCATGTTATTGAGCTTGTTTTGTGAACATCGGTGGGTGGTGAGACTGGTCAGGGATTTGTCAGATTAACAGAGCTGACTGCAGTGTCAATTAGGGGGCAGAGAGCTTCTGGTAAACACACAAACACACAGCCACACATACACATACATATACAAATGTCATAGTTCACACAAACTTGTCACAGTTCATAGCTCCTGATGGAAGCTTTATGTATATTTCTAGCTATAATGGTTTGCTCATGCGTAATCTTTTTTTTTTGCCCTGAACTACCGGCTTTTAACGTGGGAAGCATGAAAATAAAATAAAACCTAAAAATAAATAAATACATTTGTAGAACATGAATTAAAAAAAAAAAAAAAGATGAATCCCAGTTACTATACTATAGTTACTCTTTCATTTCTGTTGAGATATTTTAAGTAGATTTGGCATTTTTGCAATATATTTGTGTTTAATGGCTGCGAAACTCTAGAATTGATTGTTGGCAATTGATTTCCTATTTCTGTTCTAGATTCATGGCTTTCATGTAACTTTGCTGTCAATTTCTAATCATAAAATAAAACAATTTCCAAAATCAATATTCTATTAAATTTTTTTTTTTTTTTTTTGGATACATGCAAATTTTCATGTTATAAGCTTCATACTTGGTTCTTGTTGGGTTTTATTTTATTTTGCTGTAGTGGCCGACGTGTGTATGTACATAGAGTTATATCTGGTGAATTGTTCCACATTTTTATTTTGAGATTCATGCATTATTTAAAGCAAATGTCAACATTTCTTTGAGCTTTTAAAGTGAGAAAAAAGGAAAATCCAAAATGTTGTTGTACTAGCTAAATTGCCTCTGAAATTAAATTGCTTTTAGCTGCAGTTTTTAAAAAAAAATTTTTTTTTTGAGAGTTGTGGGAGTTGTGTTGTGTTAGTCTATGTGGCATAAAAATGCATGATTGTTTTTTTTTTCCCTGTCTTTTTGATTTATCAGTCGGGGGAAGAAGACAAACATTCGGCTCCTGTTCTCCTTATTGCCACAGCCATATCACCCTGCAGCCCAAGACTGGTTGCCCACTGAAACTAATCAGGGTTGAACCTGGTCAGTACCTGGATGGGAGACTTCCAGGGAAAACTAGGTTGCTGTTGGAAGAGGTGTTAGTGAGGCCAGCAGGGGGTGCTCTTTAAGTCTTTCCCCTCTAGATGTAGTAAGTAAGTTGATTTTCCTTTGCTCATATGTCACTACAGGCTTATTGGACCAGCTGGCCCATCAGTCAATGTGTGAGTGTGATTTGCTTTAGTGAGCTCTGCTGCAGCTGTCAGGCTGACGAGTGAAACCCTGCTGTCCACAATCACACCAGATCAGCTCAGACGTGTCCGGTCTTGCACCGCACCGCTACTGGGCTGCATTAGTGCGGATGTGCCACAGGAGACGTGGGAGATGCTTTGCCGCTGTAACAAACGTGTTTTCTTGGCAAGAGCATTTTAATAATGTGCTCCAACAACAGCAGAAGTCAGTCAGACAGCTCCAGGCTGTTGAACAGCATAGCTGAAAATAAACACAGGTATTACTATTTTTATGCCGCGCGCTGTGAAGGAGGAGCCATATAATCAGGAACAGATGCACAGAAACAGAAGGTTGAGTCCATTGGTTTCTGGACCAATACATTTGAACCTATCAGAATATTAAAGCCATGTGGAGCTCTGTTTGATATGCACCTTTCAATATATGCGTTTTTTGCTACATATAAGAGATTATTTATTTAGTTAGCTAGTTTGTTGTTTGTTTATAGTTTTTGGCTTTTTGCAACCCTCTACGGACACCTTGGCAATTGAATCGCCATTGGCTAGTTCATTATTACATGGACAAAGAAGGAGAACTGGATGAAAAATAATTAATATATAATTCATATTTATATTAATATTAATTTTTATTAATTTTTATTTACATTAGGACAGTGGAAAACATTAATTTAAAATATATATTTTTTATATAAAATTTTGATTGATTGATTGATTGATTGATTGATTGATTGATTGATTGATTGATTGATTAATTAATTCTTAAGTTTTTGGCTTTTTGTGAGCAGGGCAAAGGGGGAATGGGATAAAAAATGTAATTTAGAATTCTATTTTATATTAATATCACTTTTTAATATTTATTTTACTTTTAATTAGGACAGTTGGAAATTTCATTTATAAATGACAAGTTAAATATAACTATAAATCAGCACTTTAATAACTTGCTAAAAATTAACATAATTAATATATGTGTTTTTTTTGCTACATGTAAGGAAATATTTATTTAGTTAGCTAGTTAGTTGTTTGTTTATAGTTTTTGGCTTTTTGTCATTATTGGGCTGTACATGGACAAAGAGGGAGAATTGGATGAAAAATAATTAAAATATATAATTCATATTTATATCAATATTAATTAATTTATTTTACTTTACATTAGGACAGTGGAAAACATTAATTTAAAATATATATATATATTTTTTATAAAATTTTGATTGATTCATTGATTCATTCATTCATTCATTCATTCATTCATTCATTCAAAGTTTTTGGCTTTTTGTCATCAGGACAAAGGGGGAATGGGATAAAAAATATTTATCATTCTAATTTATATTAATATCACTTTTTAATATTTATTTATTTTACTTTTAATTAGGACAGTTGGAAACTTCATTTATAAATTATAAGTTAAATATAACTATAAATCTGCACTTTAATAACTTGTTAAAAATTTATATAATATAATATAATATAATATAATATAATATACAAGAAACATCTCATGAATGCACTGGGACGCATCCTCAGTGATGTACCCTGGGGTCATTGGGGGTTTCGGGTCTCGCAACATCATACACCCTCGCCCAGGCGACCCAGCC